CAAGTATACATTTTTCATACTCAATATTTAATTGTCTCTTCACAAATATATGTAAAATAGCTACCCAAACAAGTCAAGTACTTATAGATATCATATATACTCATGCTTGATGCTCAGGCCTAATTGGCATCGTATCTAATCCCATATATTGATTATTTATCTTATATTTGGTTAAGGAAAATGAAGAGGTAGAAAAGAGAAAAGAAAATTTTTATTTTTCCAAAAAAAGAGAGAAATTATATTCTTTCACTTTCCCTCCTTCACGTCTCTTCTTCTGAAATAAAGTAAAAGAAAGTTTTTTCTTATCTTGTTTCTAATTTTTTTAATAACTAAATAAAATTTTTTTTCCTCTCCTCCTTTTCATTTCTCTTAATCCAAACATATTATTATTAAAATTTTTAATTTTACAATTTATATATATATATATATATATATATTGCAAAATCAAGACCACCAGATAGGCGAGGGTTGCCCCAATATCATGGGGGCCGGTCCCATCTTCAAAACAATTTTGCTTTAAGAATTCTCGGTCTTTTACCAAAAAAAAGAAAAAACACGTTGGGCTTCTGTTGGGTTATAGGGGTATTGGGCTGGACTTTTGCTCGAATCTTAAAGAAATAAGGATTGGGCAAAACCAGGCGAAACGTTTCCAAGGCGCTTTTTTTTAGCGTGAGAAACGTATCCTCCTTTCAGCTGGACGAAACGCAAGAAGCTTCAAGCTTGGAGAAGTCATAGAATCCCTGAGACGCTGGCCGGCAACTCGCTTACGGTGTTGGGTCCATCATCTTATGCCACCGATCAGGCTCCTTGAGCCGCCCACGGGGCTGACAGGGGTGCCGGAGATTTTCGAAGATGGGGTCTACGGCGCCATTAGACGGGCGGTTGTAATCGGAAATGGATTCGCCGGCGCGGAGAATCAGTGCTTTGGGTTGGTTCGCGCTCTTGGCCTCTCAGGTCGCCATACACTATACGTGAGTGCGTCTCTTCGCTGAGATTTTGTTCACTGTTAATTCACCAAAAATCATTTTCCCTTGTTTTGATGAATGCAGAGAGTTACTAGGCCTAGAGGAGGGATTAATAAGTGGCTTCATTGGCTTCCTGTTTCTCTCCACAAAAAAATAGATTATCTCTTAAGGCAATTGTTGGAGTGCCCACGATTTCAAATGACGGTTACGGAGAAGAAAGTTACTCCCTTTTCAGCTGAGAGAACTGGTACTGAAAGCTTCTTAACATTCTAAATCATGGGTACTTAATTTCAAAGGGAGAATTATAGGAGAAACTGATGTTTGTTTCATATGAAAATGGTTCTTCCACAGGCTTGTCTAATGTTCTAGAAGCTGATGCAAAGCAGATTGCATCAATGGCTCGTGATACATTTGAGAAGTGTGTTCTTCTTCCTTCTTGGTTGAATTCTTTTAGTTGCATACGTTGGATGAAGTAATTTTGATGCTCTTTTATTGTCTCTCATTTCTTTTCAACTTGAATAACAATTTTTTGATGTTACAGGAATGGCCCATTATTGGTGGTTGCATCAGGTCGGGATACAATTCCTGTTGTGAGCTCCATAAAAAAGTTAGCTCCAGAAAATGTTTTTGTTGTTCAGGTTCTATTTTTCCTGTTTCTTTTTAATTTTTGTTCTAACGTTCCATTTGATATTTAAACTGGCCTTTAGACAGTCTTCTTATATTCATATATACAATGAAGATTGTTTATTTTCATTGAATTTTTTTTACTTTTATAGGCCTAGGTGATACTTTTGTTGGTTTCAACTTCTAAGATTGTGAGAAGATTTCGCTTAACTTCTTTTCCAGTACTTATTGACTTTTGTAGATTTCTTAAGAACATGGAATTTTGCATGCCCTTAATATTCAGCTTTATGTTAACAAATGCTCCTAGAAAAGTGACACTTGGAATTTTCAGCTATCATTTGCCTTTTAGTAAAATGATGAAGTATAATAGTGTGCAAGTTTTATACCATCAATGTTAAGATATCCATTAGCCCTGAACATAATCTAATCCTTCATTGCACGTTTCACATTATTTATAATGTGCATGTTATGGAGGTATACTACTGTTATTCTTGGGCTTTAGCCTTTTATTGCTCTGTTTTGTGGTTATTGATACACTGATCTTCTCTGTAGATTGCAGCTCCTGGAATTTATAATTTTTTTTTCCTTTCTCTTTTGGGATTAAAATGTTCAGATACAACATCCAAGGTCACGGCTCAATAGGTTTGATTTAGTGATTACTCCTCGTCATGATTATTTTCCCTTGACCCCTCATGGAAAGAAACAAATACCTTGGTTTCTCAGGAGGTGGATAACCCCACGTGAACCTCCTGATAAACATGTGGTATGTATTTTGATTGTAAATGCTTGCTCAGTTGAGTTTGCATATAACAAACGGTGTTCATTGAGATCTAGATATTGTTTTTGTGATTATAATTGCAGGGTCATATCTAGCTCATGGCTATGGGTCTTTGATTCTCAGGTTCTTACTGTGGGAGCTCTTCATCAGGCTGATTCTGCTGCACTTAGGAGTGCTGCTTCTGCCTGGCATGATGACTTTTCACCACTTCCAAAGCCCTTGCTTGTGGTCCATATTGGAGGACCTACAAGTAATTATCCTTAGCATCAAGGAATTTGTCATAATTTCCAATTTGCGTGTATGCATTAAAAATTATCTTATCCTAAATCCAAGAGCTTTTTGTAGGCAGTTGCCGGTATGGTGCAGATCTAGCAAAGGAGTTAACAGCTATGTTGCATAATGTTTTTTGGAGTTGCGGAAGCATCAGAATTTCTTTCTCCAGAAGAACCCCTGAGAAGGTATAGAAGCTTTAAGCAATTTCCCTTTTCAATCAAGCATCTAAAAGCACTTGCTTGTAGGTATTCTCATGTGTGCTAAGATCCTTTTGGGTGCTGCATCAGCAGGTATCCAAAATTTTGTTGGAAGAGTTTAGTGCTCATCCTAAGGTTTATGTATGGGACGGTGAAGGTACACAATTTCCATAATCTTTTAGAGGATTATTCAACTCTTCATTGTAATGAAAGTTACTTTGTGTTTAATATTTTATCCTATTTAGGTCCAAATCCACATTTGGGGCATCTTGCTTGGGCAGATGCTTTCATTATCACAGCTGATTCAGTCAGTATGTTGAGTGAGGCTTGCAGTACTGGGTAAGTTTGATGGACAACTAATTAGTCTCTAATGGCTCAGTTGATTGAATTATTTTTTTGGATTGAAGTTGATGCCTTGCAATAAGTGGGTTTTCATCATGCTTCAGAAAACCAGTCTATGTAATTGGAGCTGAGCGGTGTACATGGAAGTTTGCTGACCTCCAGAAGTCCCTACGGGAGCAAGGATTGGTTAGACCATTCACTGGTAATGAGGATGTAAGTTTCCAACAATTTACATTGTTTCATGCTGAATTATTAAAAGAAAATTGTAGCGGTTCTTCTCTCTTGGAACCTAGCCCCTTATTTTGAAGTTCAAAAATAAAAAACAGAAAGAGGTTCCTTAAACTGAGAATAATATGAACTTGTGCACCAGCCACATTGAATACAAGAAGGCCAATGTACGCATGCTCCACAGATGACTTACAGAGTAATTAAGCATTATCTATTGATCTATGTTCTCTTTACAGATTTCTGAAAGCTGGAGCTACCCTCCACTAAATGACACTGCAGAGGCTGCTGAGCGGGTGATTGAGGCACTTGCTGAGCGTGGATGGACAGTACGCACTTGATTGGTCTCCATATGGTGCTAATAAAGCCCATTGATGTTTTTATACTGCTCAGATTGTTTCAACACATCTTTTGAACTAATGTCAAATTTTTACTTAGACATGCACAATGTAAAGGGGGCTATCCTGTTTCCCCCGCCATGGATTTTGGCACATTGTCAATGTTACAGACCTCTTACAATTTTGAGTAGAAAAGCCTCCTGGCTAAGACGAGAACATACAGGAAATCTGTGGTGTTAATGACTCAAGTTTAAGATCTGGCAATGAAGTTGCTTCCGTTTGGACCTGTTCTATACAGGATCAGAATTTAAAATGGCCACGTCTTACCTAATAGGTTAAATGCCAAATTTGGTCCTTAACTTTGGGGTTTTATACAGTTTTCATCCCTCAACTTTTTAATGTACATTTTAGTCCCTAAACTATAAAAAAAATATACTTTTTTAGCTTTTTTCGTTAGTTAGTTTTATTAAGTTTGTGTATATATGTATATTTTTTATCTTTAAATTTTTAAATTGAGAGATGAAAATTATATAAAATTTTAAATTTGAGGAATTAAAAATATACATATATTAACAAATTTAATGGATTAATTAACAAAAAAATTAAAAAGGTATTTTTTTTTTTTTATAATTGAGGAACTAAAAAAGTACATAAAAAGTTAAAAAATAAAAAATATACACAATTTTAAAATTAAGAAGCTAAAATTAACATTTAACTTACTTGATACTTCATGATGATTCTCGCTCTTGAATTGGCGCTATATACGTAGAAATGAAAATTACCCGAAAATACTAGCCTTAACAAGCTTACTTTTAGACAACCTTAAAGGCTATATGTTATAATTAATTAAAAAAACAGTATTGTTTTTCATTTTACGAGGATGTGGCTAAGGTTTACCAAAAAGAATAGGTACATGGAGTGGGATGCGAAAGCTACATATGTTGGATTAGGCAGGGACCCGTCATTAACCTTGTTGGATTAGGGAGGTCAGTTGACTGATTAAGAGAAAATCCACCTTTTGAGTCATCATTTTGTTCTAATCGATTACAAAATTCATAACCCCTACTCTTCGCCATCCTCAACAAGTCAAAGATATAGTATTTTTCTTTGGTATGGAAAGACGAATAGCATGTTGACAAATTAGGATGTACATAACACAAGATGAATTTTTTTTGGACAAACTTAAAAGGCATATCTTTTCATCGACCTAAATTATATAAAAATAAATAAATTTTTTGTATATTAATTATCAAAGTTGAATTTAAATCTAATTTATAAGATAGTATATAAAACTCTTAAAAATTGAGTTATAATCTTTTTTAGTACATTTGATGTTAAATTACAAAATAAGTGATATTCTGTGACTTTTAACTTGATTAATTAATTTTAATAAACATTGAAAATACTCTTGTATAAAAAATTTCAACTAAAAATAATAATGGACGGAGAATTTTCATAATTATATGAAAGTAATAGTAGTTAATGTATAAAAAAAGAAGAAGAAGAAGTATTTAATTAAAAAAAGAAATATTAATAAATCAAAATTATTAATTCCTTAATGGAGAAAGTAAGCAGCACCAACTCCTCTTGCTCCCATTAACAAGAATGTTTAGCACAAAATACCAGCTCCTGTTTTTCTATATAAGGCTTCCCCATTCAGCCATCTTCATCACCTCAACCTTCAGGTTCTCTAATCTCTCTAATTCAAACTCAAAACCTTCCACGTCCATTCTCCATTTTTCTCTCTTCCTCAGCGAAAATGAAGAGCGGTGATGCAACCATTGAGGTTCCAGCTGAGTCATCCCGTGCGGCAGAGAAGGGGAAAGCTCCTCTGATTGCTGTCACTGCCACCCCACATGAGAACAGGAAGTACAAGAAGGGGATTGCCATCTTCGACTTCATTCTCAGAATAGGTGCCATAGTCTGCATCCTGGCCGCAGCTGCCGCCATGGGAACCAGTGACGAAACACTTCCTTTCTTCACTCAATTCTTCCAGTTTGAAGCTAGTTATGATGATCTGCCCACGTTTCAGTACGTAACATTTCTTCCAATATTGTTAAAAACATAAATGTGTTGTGCAGTTTAGACTGTTTGGGATTGCATGACATCCTAGCTAGTATGTTTAACTGTTTCATTTATGCGTCCGGCAGGTTCTTCCTCATTGCGATGGCACTTTCCGGCGCCTACCTAGTCCTTTCCCTTCCCTTCTCCATCGTCACCATCATCCGCCCCCTTGCGGTGGCACCAAGACTTCTCCTCCTCATTTTGGACACCGTAAGTTTGCTCTAAACATCAAACTCAAGCTCATTTCCACACTCGAGAATTAATTAATTAACCTCCTGGATTCTTTTGCAGGTGGCGCTGACCCTAACCACGGCAGCTGGTGCAGCTGCAGCTGCAATCGTCTATCTTGCTCACAACGGTAACCCCAACACGAACTGGCTGGCTATCTGTCAGCAATTCGGCAATTTCTGCCAGCAAGTGAGTGGCGCTGTGGTGGCATGTTTCGTGGGTGTGTTGATCTTCGTGCTGTTGATTCTGCTGTCTGCTTTGGCTCTGAAAAGGCACTAGTTAAGAAACGGGATTAATATGATTCATGTTATCTATTGATTCTCTGTTTTTTCTCT